GAAAAGTCAGGGGTTTGGGAGAGAGAGAGGTTGGGGGGGGGGGGCAATGTTGGCAGACCGGAGGACCGGAGTCCTACTTTACGGAGAAGAGAGTTCGGCCAGAAAAAGAAGAAGAAGCAGGCGGCTCGGCGGGGGCTGGGCTGGGCGACGGAGTGGCTCGACAAATACCCCAAAGTGCGCCACTGCATAATTACTGCCGTGTGTCACGGAGAGAAAGGAATTAGGAAGGTCGCGGCAAAACGAGCAGAGCGAGTAACTAGCCGAACTCCGGGGCGGGGGAGAGGGAGGGAGGAGCGGGCGGGGGCGCGCCGTCCCGTCGCCGAACAAAAGCGGCAGAACAAGCGGCGCGCGCATGCGAAATTCAAAGTGTTCCAATCTCGTTCGTGCAAGTTTAACGCCCCGCTTCTCCGGCTGCCCTGCCGCGCGGGTCTCTTGCTCTTGCTCTGGTGGTAGCCCTGGTCGCTGGTCTTTACGAGTGCTCCGTACATCGGCGTGTACCGAGTGTACTACCGCTGCTGCTGCTGCTGCTGCTGGGGATGGCTCTGCCGCATTCCACCCGGCTGCAGCCAACGGACGATGCGGTCGTGAATCATAATTATTAAGTGGACGACTTCTGTTCCGTTTCACTTTATGAGTCAAGCGGACAAGCGAGCGAGCGGGGCGGGGCGAGACCCGATCAGCGGCGCTGCATCGTCCGTCCCGGGCCGTCCCGGACCGTCCCGGGGGCGTGGCCCTGCGGCCCGGCGCCACGCTGCGCCACGCCACCTCGACATGGAATAAACCACACGGCGCGACAGTAACGCCCTGCCGGCCCCGCGCCGCCGCGCCGGACAAGCCGTGAGGGCCGCGCCGTGCGGTGCGTGGGTCGCGCCGGCCGGGGGCCCGGGGGGAGGAGAGAGAGAGGGAGGGAGGGAGGGGCGGAGCAGCAGCAGGTTTCGCTCGCAAAAATGCGGGAGCGAGAACATCTGGAGGCGATATCATCTGCAGTACCTTCCTTTCTGCTGCTGCTGGTGCTTGTGCTACCCTGCAATAAATGGTGTAAGTGGGGTGACAAAACTCACTTGTCTCTTGTCTTGTCGGGAACATTTTTTGTTTTGTTTTGCATTTGGCGTTCGCACACCTAACACGCACCTGGGTTTCCGGTGCACGTTATCAGTGATGTGCAGAGTTTACTGTTGGCAGACCGTCCCTCTGTCGGAAAATAGAGGGCGCGCGCCAGGCCGCTCCTCGAGCACTGCCTCCCAGAGACAACTTGACGAGTAGCGTGGCTATGCGCGGGGCTCCGGTAAGAGGGAGACGCGGAGACGGGCCGCGCGCCTCGAGGCTCTAGCACGGTTGTTACCTTTCCCATAGTTGTCGGTGGGCCCCGCCAACCGCGCCGCCCCTTGCGCCGCCCCCGCACGCACTCGCATATGATGCCCCTCCCTCCTTTCCGAAACTTTGAGTAAATATAAGTTTGGTCGAGTTGGAAATGGAGCGCCGCAGCGTGGCTGCGCGCGAGGCCACTCGGGAGTAAGAAGGGAAGGGGGAAAGAGGGAAAGAGAGAGGGAGATGGGGAGATCTGGCTGCATTGTGATGGCATATAGCGTTAATCCATCTGTCTCTGTCTAAAGTCCTGTGTGACGCGCCCGCGGGGGTCCTCCTTGTCTTCGTCTGAGAGAAAGAGAAAGGTAGAGAGAGGGAGAGAGACAAACAAAGAGAGGGAAGGGGGCCGATACGAATTATATGTGTGGGTAGTTTGGCTTGCCGTATCTCCCCGGTAGTGGGAGAGAGAAAGAGACTGCTGCTGCTTATATGAACAACGCGCCGCCGCCGCCGCCCCCGCGCCGGGGGCTGTACGCGGGGGCGGCACGGAACCTAACGTGACCCGGCGTCGTGAGCGATGACACTAATGCCCCCGCGTGCGACTGTGTGTGAGGAGGGAGAGAGAGAGAGAGAGAGAGAGAGAGAGAGAGAGAGAGAGAGAGAGAGAGAGAGAGAGAGAGAGAGAGAGAGAGAGAGAGAGAGAGAGAGAGAGAGAGAGAGAGAGAGTCAGAGTGTGTATGTGTGTGTGGGGGAGGGAGAGGGTGCTCGTGTGTGGTGTGTGTATTTGTTGCTGCAGGTGAGGCCCTCGACTCGGCCCACTGGACTCCCTTTGCTATCGCCGTCATCGAGTGGCGTGGTCTGGCGGGGAGGGGCGGGGCGGAGGACTTCCTTCCTGGACGGCGGGGGCCACTTTTGCGGGGGAGGAGGTCTGGTCTGGTGGAGGACCTTCACCACACTGCGACCCCGCCACGCGTCTCGGACTCTCTCACTCTCCCAACCCTCTATCCTCGCTCTCTCTCTCTCTCTCCCCACAGGTCGGCCGAGAAGTGGTCAGCGGAACGGGCTTGCGGTGCGCTCACACACAGAGCACGTCCGGTCAGACCAATGACAGGGACACATCGATAGCCACCGTTATTTATCTGTAATAAGTAGCCCCTGTACCGCCCGCCCCCCTTTTCCGCCACTTCCCCCCCTCCTAACCCCCTTCACTCTTATTTATGGTGATATATTTCACGTTTATGGCCGCTGCGCGCTCTGTGTTTGTGTGTGTGTGTTATTTCTCCCAAAGTTGCTCGCTGATAGCCGAGAGTTATAGTCGTCCGAAAAGGAGTGCCTTATAGTTCTTGAAACAAAAACGCATTTTTCGCCCGCGCCGTACCGAGGCGTGTCCACCGCCCCCGCGCCGCCCCTTGTGTGTCCTGGAGGCGCGGCGCGCTCTGGTTGCCCCTTTACTTTTATTTTATTCCCCCCCCCCCCCTCCTGTATTTCCCGCCCCTGACGACGCCGCCGCCGGGTCCCTCGCGGTGTGGCGTGAAGTAGCGGCGCGCAGAGTTTCGTTTTCAGCGGCGCCAGCTCTCCTCGTTTATAACGCGCCGCTCTGCTGCGGGTGGCGTGGAGGTGTGGTGTGTTCCCGGGGAAAAAGTAAAGGGGGGGGGGGGGTTAGGGGGCAACAATTTTTCACGAGTTAATGACGGTTTTGTGTCTCGCTCGAGATAAGCTCATTCTCATAAGCCCCGCCGAGC